TGGGGAACAGCACAAACTAAACACAAACTCATATGGGGGGATACTTTCACACCCTCATAAAAAACACAATCCCGGGCCGGCCGAGTGGCGTGCTGGTTAAGAGCTGGTTTGGGAGGCCGGCTCTGAGCACTAGGCCCCAGTTCAGATCCCACATAAGGGCCAGTGACACTGCCCTCTACAGCTAAGATGGTGAACAACAGCTCGGCCTGGAGCTGGGCTGCCATGAGTCGCCCGCGACAGCATAGGTTGCAGCCCCTGCTGCAGTGGGTTGCCATAAGCTACCATGTGTGGCCAGCATGAGTGGCCAGCAGCCGGTCGGTGTGAGCTGCCAAGAGCTGCTGTGAGCGGGCGTCCAGAGGCCGGTGACCCATCTGCCTCACCTGGGAAGAGCGCAATGATAATACCAACATAGGCCAGTGAAGCAACGTCCTCCACAACTAGACTGAAGAACAAGAGGACAGCAATTTGTCTGTTCCGCCTCCCCCAATTCCCCAATAAAATCTTTAAAAAAAATAAAACCACAATCCCAGCAATAATGCATTCTAAACCTAATATTATTAACTACACAAGGAAATGAGTAAGATTAAGCAGATAAATGAAAAGGTGGCACCCCAAGAGATAAAACAGAATATGAAAGAGACTCTAAAAGGATGAAAGACATGACAGAAAGTATAATATTAAAAAAAGACCAAGCATACAAAGTCAAATACAACTCCTAAACAAAAACAGTCATTGAAATAAACACACTACACTGAATACACAAAATCCTAGACAATGAAGAGATAATTAGTGAATTGGAAGAAAGAATAAAATAAACTACAAAGAATGTCACATAAAGGTAAAAAGGGAGGAAATAGGCAAGACAGGTTAAGGGACATGCAGGACAGACCAAGAAAGTGTGACATACATCTATTAAAATTGAAGAAGAGACAGAGTGGGAACACTGCAATGTTAAAGAATATGGGTACATTTTTGTAGAAACTAAAAGATGTGACTTTCTTTGATTGAAAAGATAGTGAGAATGGGGAAGGACAAATAAATAAAAAGAAACCCATGTACAAACTGTAGTAAAACTGCAGAAACCAAAGGCAAAGAGAATTTTTTCCTGCAATGTGGTTAAAAAAAAAGAGAGAGAGAGACAGACTATTTAGACTGACAACAGACTTGTAAAAAAACAACAGAGGTCAGAATAAAATGAAATAATGTCTTCAAGGTTTCTAAGGAAAGAAAACAGCTATCAATGTAGATTTTTAAAATTCTATAACCAGTGATGTCAGCAAGAACAGGGAGTTAAGGACCTCTGAAAATCCACTCTTCCATAAAAGTAATTAAGAACACGGGCAAAAAAAATTGTCAGAATCAACTATTTCAGTAATATGGAAAAATACAAGAAAGGCTTCCAGCAATCTAGGAGTGTTTATTGAAGAAAAACGGCTGAATCTCAGTTGTGCTATACTATAACCTATTTGAGTCCCTCCCACCCTTCCCCGCTCTGCAGATTTGACAATGAACAGCCCACAATCATGGTGAAAACAGCACTCTGGTAGCCACTAGAGGGGGCAAAATGAAGTTGGAGTTTCTTCAAAGCCCCATTTCTACAGAATTGTCCTTCTCTAAACTCTCTAGCGCTTCCCAGGAAGATCCCACTCACCATGGTTCTTTGACTTTCCTCAGACCTCACCTAATGTGAACTGCCTTTTACTTGGGGGTGTTTCCTGAAAATAGTCAGAATCAATTGTTTAACACTGCAGCTGTCTAAGGGATAAATAATTTTGGGGGCAAACAATAAGCTAATTAACCAAAAAGCTTAGAAGGAAAAGCCAGGGAGTGATATGTACACAGGAGACAGTGAAAAACTCCAACATATGCATAGTAATCTAAAAGGCCATATGCATGGAAAGGGTTGTATGCATGCCCAGGGCTATGTACAGGCACTGGAAAGAACTTGGAAGGCCCTAACTCTCACCTCTTGCTCACTCTGAGGCTTTATACAAGTTAAAGCTGGGGGGGGGGGGGACACGGGGACAAAGAGGGTAAAGAGGGGTCAAATATATGGTTACAGAAGAAGACCGCACTTTGGGTGGTAAGCACACAATGCAATATACAGATGATTTATTACAGAAGTGTACACTTGAAACTTATACAATGTTATTAACCAATGTCTCCCCAATTAATAGTAAGGGAGTATCTCTAAGATAATTGTACGCAAAAGGATTTTTTAAAAATAATATAACAAAAAGCATAAACTTAAAGGAACCTAGGTAATTTATATCAGAGAAAACACAATACTTATACACACTGAATACACTCACCCAAACTACTAATAAAAGAAATGCAAACTAAAACTCTGTAAGATGCCATGTTATATCCATTAGATTTGTAAAAAAAATTAACAAGGGCAAGGAGATATTTCTGGGTGGAAATATAACACTGGTAACACCATTTTGGAAGGCATTTGGGCAATGGTGGTAAAGTTGAAAATATACATGCCTTGTGACTCTGCAATTCCATTTCTGGCTACATAAACTAAAGGACTCTTCCATATGTGAACAAAGATTTAGAAGTGTTTAAACTGCAGGGCACTGGGGGGGCGGGGGATGGACACAAATAGCAAGTAACAAGGGAAGGGATAAATTTTTATGTTTATTGAAAGCATTTGTAGAGAAAATAATTAGAACTTCACATATTTATCTTTATAAATCTCAAAAAAGTTTCTTTCTCAAAAAAGAAACATGTAAACTGCAAAAGTTGCATGTAATATATAACATCTATTTAAAGTTTAAAACATACAATGGATTCATAATATATAGTTAAAGCACTAAAATAAGTATTACAGCTTTAGAATAATGATTAATTCTGAGACATGAGTAAGGAGAATAGGATGAGAATGCATTAACTTTATCTGTATATTTAATTCCTTTTTAAAAAAATAAATATGGAAACATGCTAACATCTGTCATTTAATTACTTAATGTTTATTAAATGTAAACATTGGAACATAAAAATTGCTGTAAATTACCTTCTATATTTTCATGTTTGAAACAGTCGACAATTTTTTAAAAATACAAAAGAATCAGGTAAATGATTAAGTTAATCATCATTAACTAGAATAAACAAAGTTTAAAAACTGTATGGATCTGTATTATAGCATGATGTATGCTTAATGTTTTTTTTTCTCCTTGATTAAAGATGCCCATTGTAGAAAACTAGAGAAACAGGGACAAGAGGTGCATGTGTGTTTGGAGTGAGTAGGGGAATCACCTCTAATCCCACCATTCAGAAATGACTATTACCATTTTAGTTTCTGTCAACATTTCAGTGTATCATTGTTCAGTGAGTTTTTAACATAGCTGAAATAATTTTATAAAAATACTTTTGCATCGCACTTATTTCTTTTGATAACTGAAGGTAAGCACTTTCTCCAAATTGCTAACTAGTTTCTATAAACAATTATTTAAAAATATCTGAGATATTTGGTCATATGGGATAGCTAATAATTTTCTAAACCTTTATTCTACTATTGAGCAAATGTTCAAAAGGGTGGTCTAATTTTTTAAATTGTAAATAAAGCACGGATGAATTTCTTTGTGCATAAATCTGTCCATATTGGATAAACTTGTATAAATACAATTGATATAGAGAGGTTTATATTAATTTACAATGGTATATAAAAATACTTACTTTTTTTGCTATAATAGTTATGAGATTATTAATTAACAAAATCTTGCTAAGTAATCAGTGGTATCCAATTGTTCTTATAATCTGTACTTTTACATTGGAACTGACAGGGATTAATTATTAGTTTATTTCATATCTTGTATGAATAGCCTTTTCACGTGTTTTCCCATATATCTATTTTTATGAGCTCTTTAAATATTTAGGATTATTAGCCCCCATCCTGTTCATTATGAATATAATGGCCCAGTATGAGGCTGGACTTTTAATTTGTTGGCTGACATTCAAATCTTATATTTTTATGTAAATATTATCAACATTTTATTTGCAATTATCTTCATCTTCTCTTTACCTTAGAAGATTTGATAATAATTTAACTTTTAGTATCTATTATGTTTCCTTTTTTTCTATTGCCATAACCTTTCTTGCTCACTGTCTACTCCTAATAATGGTGGGAAGCTAAAATCCCTAAGAGTCAACCTAAACTCTTCCCTCTTGGGAAGGCAGAGGAATCAATGTTACTAGGCTAAGTAAGATTAGGAGCAGTCCTTTCTCTGGCCTTGTCACTCCCATGACCACCAGTGCATCCTCCCTGAGAGCAACTTCAAAACCATAGGTTAACAACAGGATTCTTGCTGTCCGTGCAGGCTTTACTGATGGTTAAACCTATTCCTTCTTTCTAATATCGCCATCACACGTACAGTTTTACATGTGATGAAGTTTAAATAATATAATGTATTTAAGAGTAAACCAGGGCCGGCCGAGTGGCACGATGGTTAAGAACTGGCTTGGGATGCCAGAGGGCCCCAGTTCAGATCCCACATATGAGGGCCAGTGACACTGCCCTCTACAGCTAAGATGCTGAACAACAGCTCAACCTGGAGCTGGGCTGCTGTGAGTCGCCGGCGACGGCGTAGGATGAAGCCCCTGTGGCACTGGGTTGCCATGGGCTACCGTGTGTAGCCAGCAGCCAGCGTGAGCAGCCATCCAGAAGCCGGCGACTGATCTGCCTCGCCTGGGAAGAGTTCAATGATGGTGCCAACTTGGGCCAGTGAAGCAACGTCCTCCACAACTAGACTGAAGAACGAAAGGACAGCAACTTGTCTGTTCCCCTTCCCCCGATTCCCCAGTGCTGTTCCCCTCCCCCCAATTCCCCAATAAAAACCTTAAAAAAAAAAAAAAGAGTAAACCGTAAACTGTAAAATACTATATAAGTATCATTTTGAAAAATTGTAGCAGGAGGGAAGGAATCAGCAACAAGTTTTTAAATTTTTGCTGTGGAAGGAATATGACATGAGACAGAAGTAATTCACTAGAAATCTCACCGAAGATCCAGACCAGCTTCTTTCCACAGTAAATCCATCAAGCGCAGCATTTGGAGTGTCAACATATCCTGCCGTAAATCTAAAGGAAAAAACTCTGCTTTATTAAATGCTTTCCATTTTATGATTACTAACATTAATTCAAGATTAGCTAATTCAGCCAGAATTAACTAAAACCACTGACAAATGCTATGCTAATTTCTTCCCCAAAATTTTAATGCTAACCATTTCATATTCATTATGTTAAATATTAGGTTTGTTAGTATGTCCCTATAACACTATTTCAGAAATTAAGTGTAAAACTATTTTTAACTGTTTACCCTGTGTTAGGTACTAACTGTATGGATGCTATAATACTGTTATAACACAGTAATGCTGTATTACAGCATCCACACAATTCACATTGTTAATTTTTTCCCTTCTGTTTACTTATAGGGATGCACAGGAAGTTCTTAAGAATCATATAAGTGGTAATTGCATGATGGATTCACAAAGTAGCAACAGTTGATTTTACTTATGATGTCCAAGCATAATTTTGAAGTAACAGGCTGTGAAAATAATGACTTCCACATAACGACATTCATATATGGTCACGTGGTGTTAAATGTCTGGCAAAATACTACAAGTTCTTTTAAAAATAGTTGGAAGCACATACTATTTTAAGCATATTTATTTATGTTATCTCAATTAATTCCTTTTAATAACAGGAATTATTAGGTTATAATTTAATTTGACAATTAATAATTATCAAAGTATTAATAGTTTAATAATCATCATACAAATCATATAATTCTCATGGACATGAAGAATCTGAAGCTCAATTCATTTTGCATGACTTGCCTGTAGTCACACAAATAAATGGTAGCAGTCATGGCTGCCTTCTGGTTGGTGTGATTACTTCAGAGGCATTTCTTAAAGTATATGTCAGTAAGATATTTTAATTAAAATACAAAACTATGGAAGAAATATTAAGATCGGCATCACTGAAACAAGATGTATGAGTCATATTACTGAAAATATTCTGTTGTATTTCACAAGCTTTTTACCAAAGAAATAGACTTTGCATTTTGTATGTATGAAAATAGAGATTTATTGGAACAATGTATGTAAGTAAGCTGCAGAAGTCAATTTCCAAAAGGGGGAAAAAGGGATTTGGGACATGACGAATTCAACCTTATGGTCACTGATAGCTACCTCTTTTGCCCGCCATCTGTTACACATTTTACACATCACCTTTCAGATAAAGCAAACTGACAACAAATGAAAAAATACTAAGGAATTTAGTACTGCAAACACCTCAGTACATACCGTCACCATTTTTAAAAATCACTCCAACTGAATCCTCACCGAACACCTTGTTGTTGTACACCAGCCACAAAGGCTTCATTTTAGAATCCATGTACTTACACTTTTCAACACTGAAATCAAACAAGGGGAAAATTAGCCGACTTCAATTTAAAGACATGGCAAGACTGTAATTTTGCCATGATATTCTAGGTTTGAGAGAGCCCCTCACCTGTCCCAGTCTACAGAAGTCAGAACTAGAACATTTCCTCTTGGTAGAAAAGCAACCAGGATGACAGCCTTTGTTGGCATGTAGCGATGCCAAATGAGCTGGACTAAAACCTAGGTTTGCCCTTCTCCCTACCTACATTTAAAATTCCTCTTCTTTCTTATTCTTCCTTAACTTTATATAGTTCTATATAGTCACTATCAAAACGTATTATTGGATTAAAATTAGCATTATTAAGAGTTCACTATTATTTAAAAAGAGATCAATTTTGAATACTGACATAGTGAACACACATTAGTACTTTTCCATTATTACTTCTGTAGAGAATAAGGAAGTGAGAAATAATTTTTCAAATTCATTCAAGGTCTCATTTTGAAATAGGAAAGTTAATTAGTAAATAATTTAAAAATAAGTTAATTAGGGCCGGCCAGTGGCATGTTGGTTAAGAGCTGGCTTGGGACACCAGAGGGCCCTGGTTCGGATCCCACATATGAGGGCCAGTGACACTGCCCTCTACAGCTAAGATGCTGAAC